ACACACACACACACACACACACACACACACACACACACACACACACATTCCTAAATGCATAAGTGCAACCTGCTCAGTATGGATAATATGTTACTTGTATGTATGTTTCTAGGGATGACCAGTGGTATTGGATAATCAACTTCTCAGCCTTCCCATTGTTTTCTGAGTTTCTTACTGAACCTGGAGCTTAGGCTACACTGTCTGGACAGAAAGCCCCAGGGATCCTTCTGTCTATAGCTCCCTAAGTGTCTCTCCACCTGTAGGCAGCTAAAGAACAGGGATCTGTTCTGTATTCTGATTGAGTGAAGGGTGGAGCTCAGTCAGTAGAGTACTTGCCTAGCCCTTCTCTCTACCAAGTCTAAGAATGTTGTTCATCATTATTTACTTCTAATCCATGTTGGTTATTTCTTAGCCTTAAAACAAAATATAAAGTCTATTTCATAGATGCCATGGTTTTGTTTTGTCCTTATTCATTCCATAATCACTAAAGCCTTCTTTAAATCCCTCACCTATGCTAAGCTTGGTTCAGTTTTTCACACTTGTTTCTTCTGTCTTGAATGCCCTACATTTTCACAGTTTTGTTTGTTTGTTTTGTGTAGTGAAATGATTGCTACTCAAGATTTCTGGGTTTCAAATCCCCATCATCTCCACCCTACCCCATCATATTATTACGGCTATATGAAATAATTTTGGTCTTTTATTTGAATCCCCCATCAGATTGTTCTAAGGGACCCCATATATTAATTCCATGTTTGCATAATAGTATTTGGCTCTTGATAAGTATGTAAATAACAGTTAAAATATGGCGGTAGAGGAAATTATAAGTACTACCAGTGGAGAAACAATATTAACTTTAACTGGGATGACTAAGTACTCCAGTTAGGAATTTTCTCTACTACTTTCCCAGCTATTGGGAACTCTGCTCTATCCCCAAACTTAATTCTAGGCTAAAGAATCTCTTCTTAAAAATATCTGGGGTTATGTTATCTGGTCCCCACTAAAACACTTAGATAAAAAGAGCTTGAGTGTGTTACTACTTTAGCCTCTTCCATTTAACCTTTAGCTCAAATAGAAGCATTCCTGTAACTCCTACACATTTTAAAAAAAATCTGGTACAAACAAGAAGGATGTTTGCTATATTTTCAGACAACCTCTTTAGGGCATCCCAAATGCTTTCATTGTCATTCTGAGCAGATGGTCATTCAGATGGTCATTGTTACTTATGTGAAGTGTAATTGAACTAGTGTTATGCTAATGAGGCTTTATGGTTCCCACCTCACCTTCCCAGACATTGGTTTTTTTGAAACAGCGTTGCACTGTGTAGCCCTGTTTATCCAGGAACTAGCTCTGTAGACTAGGTTGGCCTCAAACTCACAGAGATCTGCTGGTCTCTGTCTTCCAAGAATCTACATACAATAAGGGATAATCTCTATTCTTCAGAGAATATCTCTTGGACTCTGTACCTGAACATATCATTCCAGGAATGGATAAGCTACTGGTACAAAGGCTATTGATATAAAACAGAAAGTAAGAAAAACCATGGAAAAGAGGATATATTTAGTCTCATGGTGAGCTAAGAGGTTATGTTTGAAGAATGACCAGTTTAAGTGTCAACAGAAAACATTAAAAAGAATAAACAGAAAGGAAGTGAGGATGTACTGGGCATTCAGTGAAATAGATCAGAACAGTTCTAAGGAGCCAGTACAAAGACACTTAATAATGGAAGTACAAAACCTATGAGCAAAACAGCTGCATGAGCTAGGGGTGACCAAACACCCCAGTTCATAAGTATCAGCATAGACATACTGAATAAGACAATGGCTGACTTATGAAACTGTGAGTTGTGATAGTTCTTCAGTTTAAAAATCATAATGCTATATTTCCTCATATTCATTCTTTTCTTTTTCTAGACATGATCACATGTGGCCCAGGCTGGCTTCAAACTTTCTATGTAGCTAAGGATAGTCAAGCATTTCTGATCTTCTTATATCCACTTTTTCAATGTTAAGAGTCCAGGTGTGCACATCACACTTAGTTTATGTTGTGCTGGGGATCATGGGAGGTATCATACATGCTAAGCAAACACTCTACCAACACAGCTACATCCCTAGCACAATTCTCACGGCCTTTCTATGGTGCAGATGTCTGTACCACCTGTCTGTACCACCTCACGGTCACTCAGAGGATCATCCTTATTGTTTCTATTGACCCCACATGAACTTTTATTAGACTAATTTTGTTTTCTAGATTAGGACTATGTATCTAAAATAATAGTATAGTAAGATTATTGTTTTTAATCTCAGACTCCAGAGAGATTAAGGTATAAAGGGTTTTTTGGTTTGTTCTTGAAACAAGGTCTTCTACTATGTAGCTCTGGCTGTCCTGAACTCAGTACATAGCTCAGGCTAGCCTGGAATTCAAAGAGATCCACTTGGATCTGCCTTTGGAGAACTAGGATTAAAGGTATGTGCCACCACACCCAGATGTAGTAAAGGTACTTTTCAACATGTCCTGAAACAGAAATATATTATTCCTTATTTTACAAAGAATCTATTCTAAGCACTAATGAACAACTCTGCTTCCTGTCTCTGCAGATCCTAGATATCTGGTAACACTGATTCAGTCCCACATTATTCTGACAGCCCATTGGGAAAACATCAGCTGGTTAAAATACTGTATCAACAGATACAGGACAACTGACTCCCATGTAACTTACTCATTAATAATCAGATCAGGAGCAAAGCACAGCAGGTTTCCACTTGCTTGTCTGTATGATCTCCAGCCCAGGGCAAATGCCATAAGGAACATCCATGAGTACTGTAGAAGGGTCATTTGGTCATCCAGGTGTAAGTTTCTGAATCCTAGATGGGAAATAAAGGTATAAGGAACACTCTAGTTGACCAGTTGGCCTTGTTTGGGTGTGACCTTTAATAGATAGCCATTGATTAGATCAATATCTGGGCACTCAAAGCTCTTTAATGGTTTAATAAAACTTATGAATAGCTATTTTTTTGGTCAATTTTGTCTATTAAAGTGCACATAAAGTAGTATAGTAAAACAGAAAGCCAACAATCTTTACTTAGGATATTAATAGATTGAAATTTTAAAAATTTCCTGATATCCATCTTTTGCTAAAAAGGTGGGGTGATGGCAGCTTAGGTATGTGTGTGTGTGTAGCCATAAACTTTCCAATCACTTTCCTATCTGTAAAGTCAGGACTGATGCTTAACTTTGACCTCTGCTGCACCGAAGTTCCAACATGAAACTTTTGTTTTAAAATACCTTTAAAATTAGAAGAAAGTTTATAGTCAATACATGGCATTTCATTTAATGAAAAACTAAAATAATTTTACATTAGTAAATATTGACAAAGTCAACAAACCTGCTGTTTATCAACTTCAAAAACAATCTGAATGAAAATAAATGGAATTCCTACATATTGTCTTCTAGGTGTTGCTGTGAATGGAATTTTAGTTTGGATAATACAAGATCTTATGTAAAATGAAATGCTGTGTGAATGTCAGAGAACGGTATCCACAGTTTACTTTGGATCTCTCTTTTGTCCTTGTAAGAGAAACAAGATTTCCTGTGAGATCAGTCAGGATGACAGACAGCCTAAAGAGTCTTAGAGCAGCTTTATTTTGGAGGGTGCTGCAGACTGATCCCAAGGTTTGTGTATGGTAAGCAAATGGCATGCCACTAAGTTAGTTATCCAGCCCAATGCAGAACATGTTTGTTCAAGAAAACACAAAGATTTCCGTCTGCTGTAGCTGTCATCCTTCGTGCCTTACCTGGTATTGCCTTTGCCCATTTCACTGCGGCAATCACTTGGCGCCCACCTAACATGTTGAGTGTGGACATAATTCTCCATGCCGAATCTGGTATAGAGCTATCGTATCCTGCATACAACACCTCAGGTTCAATCACCTCCAGCAGTGACACCAAGGTAGGGGTAAGCTGTGGCAATGCTGCAGGAACTACTGTTTTGTTAGGATTTTCAGAAGTGTCTTGTGAGACTCCTGCAGTAGCTTGCTGAATCCCTTTAATTTTTTTCTTTGTTTTTCGAGCTGTAGATATTGAAAAAAGAAAAAAGAAATGTACTAAATCAACTTTGTAGCCCAAACTTTCCAATTATAAAAGGTCTTTAATTTCTGAAATTATTTTTGAAAGAAGTAAACCGCATGTCTATGTGATGGTGTGTGCACATGTGTGGGTGTGGGGTATATGTGTGCATACACCTGTGTACTGCTCAAGGCCAGGGGAAGAAGTTGGGTGTCCAAGTCTATTGCTCTCCATTTCATTCCTTTTAAGGCAGGCTCTCTCGTTGGACTTTGAGCTAGGCTAGTAGCCAATAAGCCCCAGAAACTCTCCTGTCTCACCTTATCCTTCAAAATGCTGTGGTTAATAGGCATGGGCATAGCTATAGCTGGCTTTTTATGAGGTTAGTGGGATCCAAACTTGGGTCTTTCATGCTTGCCTAGCAAGTGATTTTAACTACTAAGCCTCCAATTCCAGGATGCCTTTATTACCAATTTGATAAACTGGTATGGAAGGGAAAGATCTATAGGAATTCCCTCCCATGACTTGTTTACTCTAACAGTGAGCCAGTAGTTTACTGTTTACCTTAAACTTCTGAGCCTGCTGCCTCTTAAGTGCTACACTGTGTTGCTGTTTTTTCTTCTCAGGTTTTATTAGTTCTTTGAGAATTTCCTACAATGTATTTTGAACACATTTACTCCTTTTAATAACTCCTCTTAGATCTATACCCCCTTCCCAACTCACCCCATCTTGAGTTCTCACCTGTTTTTTTTCTAAACAGTAAAGTATAACTTGTGCTGCCCATATGCTCTTGGATATGTGGCCTTCCACTGGAATGGGTGACTTACCAGGGGCCACACTCAGTAGATGCTTAGCTAGGGCATGGGACTTTGTGCTCATTCCCCTTCTCCATGCTGGGATCTTATCTGGTTCGAGCTTGCACACAGGTGCTGTAAGTTTATATGTGCAACTCTCCTGCTGTGTCTGGACAACAAGTTCCTTAGACATCCAGTGCTCCAGCTCTTACAGTCTTCCCACCCTCTCTGCCATGAGCCTTGCTTGAGAGGAGGAGGAGGTGTGACACGGATGTCCCCTGTGAGACCGAACTGTCAACTTTAAACAATCTGGATGGACTTAAAGCTCTGAGAATGGTCTGGGGGATTGGAACTCTTTATATTTAGTAACACACTCTGCAGTAGGCAGCATTGGGTGGTCTCTCGTATCAAGAGAAGGAGATGAATACCATTCTCTCAATATTAGCATCTTTTATCCAAATTATTGCTACTCTCATTTCCTAGTTTGTCCATATAAGATGTCTTTTTAAGGTTTTTTTTATTTTTAATTATGTGTATATGTTTTTCTCTGCATGGGAGTATGTGTACATGACGGCAGGTATCTACAGATGCCAGAAGATGTCAGATCCCTTGGAACTAAGTTATAGGGAGTTGGGAGTTGCCAAATGTGGGTGCTGGGAAGTGAAGCTGGGTCCTCTGCCACTGATCTATTTGTCCAACCCAAAGACTATACAAATATGGCTATGTCTTTGTCATTACTGGTCATCTAATTCCTCCTGAGGATCTATATTTACAATTCAGTGCTACTTCTTCCAGGATGACTTCTCTGACTTTTAGGACAGACTCAGATGACCGTCCCTCTTGATCCTGTAGTAGTATTTCTTTTGTGGCATGCCATACTATTTTGTGATTGACGTTGTAACATAAATAGAAAGTAAGCTGCTCAGACTCAGGTACTGAATGTGTATTCTCTTTATATTTGGTGAGTATTTGCTAAATGATGTACCATAGTAACAGTAAGTACTAACAGTATGAGTTAGTAAGGATGCTACTTTCAGAGAGTTTGCTGTTTCAACTACAGCAAAATCCTGACTTTTCCAAAGGAAAGTTTTTAAATAAGTGTTAATTACATAACTTTTTATATAAGCAGAAATATCAAATTATAACCTATAAGTAGTTTTTAGTTGTTTTTTATACTTAAACTATAAAACAACCCATCCAATATTGTTGGCAGAGTTGTAATAAAACATATGTTTTCAAGTTAAAGGTGTGGTGTTTTTTGAAGTGCAAAAGAAAGAGAGGAACATGAAACAGATCTCATGCACAATACTTTCCCAATCTTAGGAAATGGTTTTGAGTTTTAAAAAAGGAGTAAGAAGGATGAAAACAAAATTGCTCCAAGTTACATAATTTTCAATATTATGTAATCTCTTTACAGAATATACACCCTGGCTGTCCCAAATTCAATGTATATAACAAAAGTGGATGAATTAACACATAAAATAATATGATCGTGGAAAAAAATCTCACTTTACTATAACATTTTTCTAATTAAGCATATATAGAGTTCATTACATAATTACACTTGCTTGCTTTTATAAAAAGTAAAGTGATCAGTTCTCATGTGATAGGTAGACAGTTCTTTTAAGGCTCCATTACCTTCAAGGTTCATTCCTGCTTGAAGACATTTTCGATAACGGCATGCTGGACAGTTTTTTCTTCGAATTTTATCAATGATGCAATCATTTCTTCCAGCACAAAGGTAATTGTGCTGTCCTATACAAGATTAAAAGGGCATTGTTAAAATTCCACAGATCTGTAAGGTATTTTTAATGAAAAAGCCTATCCTCTTTCTGTTTTGTTTTGAGCAGACTATCATCAAGACACAAAGTCAGTGATTAAGGACATTAACAGTGTGCTTATCTACATGATTACAATGTTGAGAGGACTTGTTCTGTACAACGAATTTTAAAAGTCAATTAAAACAAACCTTACTACAGTACTTCATATATAGATGTGTACAAATCATGAGAAGGCTCTAAGATTAAGAGACAGAATTGTATGCTATTAAACCTCGTGTCAAAGGTCAGCACTTCTAAAACTGCTTTATATAATTCTTTAACAGTTATAGATGGTGTTTACAATCATTGTTTTTACTATGAATTCTGACATATTATTAAAGTGACTAAAATGAAGCAGGCTTAAAAATTTTTTGGGAATCCCCAAGGAAAATATGACTTTAGTTCACCATTCACTGTCATCATGTCTAGGTAAAATGAGTTCTTCCAAATTTTAAATGAAGTAAAATGTTACCAACTTCCAGCAACTAGTCAAGTAAATCACAAACTTGGCAAACTAACAAAGATCATTATTTAATATGCTTTTAGAATATAAGGATGCATGGAGTCACCTTTAGCCTCAAATACGGACTTAATGACTTAATGAGTGGTGCTAGCTAGCGTCTCTATTTTCTGGTACCCAGTATTGAAGAACATATTATGAATTTCAGTTCTCTACTGGCAAAAAAATTCTAAGAATGTTAAAAAGGAAGAGGCTAAAAGTGTTTCCATCTCCCACATGCATTGTCTTCTTTAATCTGAGTATTAAGTGTTGATGAAAACAACTGAAGGATCTATTTGACTGGGGTGGGGTATAGAAGCTTCCTACACAAGACTTATCCACAGAGATACTCCAATAATTAGCCATCTGTGTTACTTAGACTAGATGAGATGGTAAGATACTGAGTATCGTCAGACTTCCTCAATAATAAGTCATATTTAAAGAAATGAGAAAGAACTGTAATGATCAGTTCACCAGGTGGAACATATATAGACTTGATTTCTAAGAAGATACTTTTTTCTTTAATGCTTAGGGCAATCTAAGATTTGGATGAAAAAAATTTAGATTTTTTTCTGATACATTAAATCATGATATTGTTTAAATATGAGTTTGGAGTACATAGTTAACTATATTAGTTTAACCTTTTGTGAAGATAAGGTTACAAAGTTGACTGATAGTTTATTTATAAATATTAGCTATATAGTTATATAATGGCTTTATTTCAGAGTTACTTTCCCATGCCTAGTATCTGTGCTAGCTCTTTCAAATCCTTTCTGTATTTTGTGAGTGTTGTTTTCTTAAACACAAAATAGAACTAACTCAATAAAAATCCTATTATATGGGATTGGAGAGATGGCTCAGCAGTTAAGAGCACTTGCTGCTCTTGCAGAGGACCTGGGTTCAGTTCCCAGTACCCACATGGCAGCAGGTCACAACTGTCTGTAACTCCAGTTCTAGGGAATCAGATGCCTTCTAGCCTCTGCAGGTACCAGGCACCAGGCACACACATGATGTTCATACGGGTAAACATTTATACATATAAAATAAGACTAAATAAATCCTTTGTAAAAAAAAATCCCTATATACAGCAAAAGGAGAAACACCAGATTGTATCCACAGCTAAAGCACTCACAATGTACTTGCTATGAACACCCCTACATCCACTGTCTTACAAAGAATCCCCAGACCAGTGTTGCTGGGAAAAAGTACTTCTAGAGTAGAATAAATTCAGTGTCTTATTTATGTCTAACTTAAAGACTGGACTATATGATCCACTAGTTGATTCCTTCCTTATAATGAAATGGGATTTCAGCTAGTATTCATTATTTCACAAAGAATGGCCATGTATTACTAATTACTAATAGTAATTTCCTAACTTTCCTTTTAAGACAGACATCTGGAATTCCTTTGTTTTCTGCCACCTGATAAATTTCCTTTCTAACTGCTTAATGTCAAGGGAAGAGCATTCCGATCTTCTGAAGCCTCTTTAATACTGTTGTTTAGTTGATATTTTTGGCTAAATCTACTTTTAGCACTTGAAGGTAGCTTGCCATTTATGATAGGTGTAGTAGCCAGCCTACAAGATACTCCAGTGCTATCTGTCTCCTAATACAGTGTAGTGTAATCCCTTCCAAAATTACACCAATGGTGGCTTCTATGGCCAATAAAATGTTGCATATAGAACAAAGTGGTATAGCAAATGGGAAACACAACACAGGGTATGTAGAAGGTGCAAACTACAAACTGTACTGGGAGTATCTAAGGAATAAATATAAACTAATATTATCAGCTTAAGCTTCTATAGCTGTTCGTAGTAGCAGTGGTATAGTGGCATGCCAAGAAAAAAGGACTGGCAGGGCATAAGGACATGGAGAACTCCCAGGATCTTGGATTAAAAAATAAATTCATGCCGGGTGGTGGTGGCGCACGCCTTTAATCCCAGCACTTGGGAGGCAGAGGCAGGCGGATTTCTGAGTTCGAGAGTTCGAGGCTAGCCTGGTCTACAGAGTGAGTTCCAGGACAGCCAGGGCTACACAGAGAAACCCTGTCTCGGAAAAAAAAAAAAAAACCAAAAAAAAAAATTCATTTTGTATAAATAACAAATATGTAAAACTTAACTCTGATTTATGTTTGGGTATTTATAATGCCAGTACAAGGCTGAAGTATAATTTCTAGTATGTGTTAAATATGTGATGTTTAAAAATGAAATGCTACAAACTGTATTATGGATTTTATAAGACTAGATAAAATTTTTCTTTGAATTAGCATACCAAGGGTTTACAGAATTTTAGAGCTGGAAAGTGCCTTTGAGAACACTGAAACTCAAAGAGGAAATAGAGCCAAGTGACTTACTCATTAACATCTTACACATTTAAAGGTTTTCTTACTAATGTAATCTAGCTACCATGCTTTGCTGAAATAATTAAATAATAAACATTTTAAAAATAGTGTAGCTAATACTTATTTTTACATAAAAATAAGGGAAAGAGTTCATTTTAAATAAGACTTAACAGTGGGCTGTGAATGGCATTATATTGGAAGATAATTGTAGCTTTATTTTCTAGTTTAATTCCATTAAGATGCTTTTGGGTAGGTATATAAAATATCTCAAATACTAAAGTATTGCTCTGGAGTGTGAACCCAACACATGATCACCCTGTACCATTCTTATAGTCTAGTCACCTTCTTTGAAACGACATACTTCCTAACTTCCCCTATATGATAATCTCTGTTCTTGTAATTGTTAATTTGGCCTTCACTTAGTTGATTGACCTCAGTTATTGTGGTACTTAACATGACCTCTTATTTATTAACAGGAAAAAAGGAAAGGGAAAATGCTGTTCCTCCCTTACTTATCCTTCCCAGGGTCACTGATTTTGTCAGACTGGTATAGCTGGTAGCTTTGAAACCAAGCTGCTTAAGGGAATGAAAACCCAACATTCTTGGACTGCTCAGACTGAGCTTACTGGGAGTCCACACAGCAGCATTCCTTACAATGCTTTCTTTAGTTCTTTCTCAGACTGAATTTAATCAACTTATTCTAGTTCTTTTCCTTACTCCTGTCTCTTCCCAACAGAGGACTTAAGAGCTACCATGCTTGCCCCTGAATTGATGTCTATCATTAGTGGACTTTGTATATAGTGATTAGTTAAAAATTTACTGTGAGAAATAGAAACAAAAATAAAACTCTTCAAAACACACACTACCTTCCACTGCTCTTTTAAAGAATACTTTACAGCTTCCACATGTCAGCACCCCGTAATGACATCCTGAAGCTTCATCGGAGCACACCAGGCAGAGTTTGGGAGGAGGTCCTGCTGCTGTTGAGGAGCTCGATGGAGGAGAGCTTACATCTGGTCTCATTCCAGGGCTAGAGGAAGAGGATAAACAGTGTTATGGTTGTCATGATTATGAAAGGAATGTGAGAATATCTCTCTTTTTCCTTCTCATTCCATGCCAGCATGTTCACACTTTATTCTGTCTTTTAAGTGCTAACAAGCACCAAAATACCTTATCTCAATATATTGAAACATACTGTTTTTCTATATGAAATATGAAATGCATTAAACTGGTAAGATAGTACAGTGGTTAAGATCATTTGCCCAGCAGGCATGAGGACCTGAGTTCAAATCCTTACTACCTTCTTAAAAAGCAGGCCATAATTGTACATGCCTATATAATCCCAGCATTGGGGAAGAGAGTCAGGTGGATACAAAGGGCTCACAGACAGACAGCCTAACAATAACAATGAGGTTCCCATTCAATGCCTATCTCAAGGCAGAAAGGTGGAGAGTGATAGAAGATACCCTACATACTGTTCTGGTCTCTACATACCTGCATACTCCCATGCACGTAAATCACATATACACAACAGTAAATAAAATATGAAGTACAACAGCCAATTAGTTTTCTGGCTTCTAAACAGAATGATGTTGTGGTTTACTTAGCATATAATGCTATTTTTTAAAAAAATGCATCATTTTCTAAGTGTGCAGTTGGCAAGATTAAAAAAAATGGATTAGAGCCATAATGACCATAAAAACCAAGAAAGATCTCTCTACCACACCCCCAAATTCCACTCCTTTAACTGATTAGACCATCGATCTTCTTTTCCCTTTAATTTTAAGTTCTTACATTAATCTCATTAGCATTCTACCCATGCTCTCTACTATAGAAAAAATTACATACTGGCTTAAGAGTTTGATCCTAGCTGAAACAATAGTTTCTTATAACTTGGGAAAGATCCCAAAACATTGTGTATATTGGAAAAAAAATCAAAACTCTAGTTTCTATTCTGAGAACAACCATCCTGCTCCCTCTCAATCAGAATACCCTGAGAAGCTGGGCGGTGGTGGCGCACACCTTTGATCCCAGCACTTGGGAGGCAGAGGCAAGCGGATTTCTGAGTTCCAGGCCAGCCTGGTCTACAGAGTGAGTTCCAGGACAGCCAGAGCTATCCAGAGAAACCCTGTCTCGAAAAACAAACAAACAAACAAACAAACAACAACAACAACAATAGAATACCCTGAGAAAACAATGAAAACTACGAGTCTGCTGCTCTGACTGGGGCTTACTTTCCACTATGCAGACTTCTTACCATCATGGGAATAAGCAAGGTATAGTGTTGATTATTAGTTTAAAGTTCTTATTGAAAATCTTTAAAATTTCAGAGAATCTGAAAGAACAATATTTATCTTTTACTTGAAGAAACTAAGGTAGACGATACATTAACTATTACATTTTGTATTAAGTGATAATGATTTTCAATACTAAATTGTCCTAAGGAACTCTTGCCACACATGTTGACTCTGGAACAAAAGCATATATATTGCTAAAGATAATCTCTAGCTTTTTGCTTCAGATTACACTGCTGATTCCTTGTCTTGTTAAGTCCTCTGAAACAGACTTTAAAAACTACAGACAGTATCGATGCGTTGGTGTGGAACTTGTGTTAAATCATGTTATCACTTATATAAGAAAGTTCACGCACATCAATACTGTCTTTCTATGAACTTTGCTCACTTTAGTCCCTAAGAGATAGTACTTAGGAATAAGCTAGACCAGATACAGCTTGTCTGTTTATCCTTTACGCATGCTTTTATTTCAGCCTAGCAAAGTACTAAATCTCAAATGCAAAAAAAATGATTAATATATTCATAACTAAAACATTTTCTTTCTTTAGTTAGAAATAACAAATAATGTTTTTCAGTTCCTTCTTTAGGAACAAAAATTAAAAAATACTAACTGTAGCTGGGAGTTGTTATTTATCCCTCTAATCCTAACACCTAGGAGGCTAAAGCAGAAAGATTATTACAAAATTGAGCCCAGTCTGGGATCTGCCAGTTCTGGGAAACCCTGTGAGACCCTGTCTCAAGAAAGACAGAAACAAAAATGTGTTAGAATGCTATTAAGTAAGTCATTAAACCCAAGGTTCACCCTAAATTTAATCCTCAAATGAATCTTCCTGCATGCTGCCAACTGTCTATTTATCCAGTGGCTTAGTCAATAGGGCAGCACTCCCACCATCTAGTTCTGGGAATAGGTCTAGGGTTTCACATTGTTCTCTGAGCACTGTCAATAGACTTTCTGCTTGTTTTCATATCACAAGGTATCGATTCCTTGCTAGGTTTGGGCAAGTGGACTGAGTGCAAAACAAGAGCCTCTAATAGTAGAGATCTCCAGACACAACTGCTGCCGTTGGGCACAGCCTCTGGGTAATACAGGCTTATAAGGCAAAGGGGCTGCTTTGGGTCAGAGTTCTATACTGAAGTAGGATGGTCCTGGGGTGAGCACAGAGAGTAGCAATGTTCTAGGGGAGCAAATCCTCCCGAGCTTCTGTTCTGATGACGCTCCTATTCCAGGTCAGCCAATCTCTTCTCATCTGACATCTATTTTTAGGGACCAGCAAGTTGCTTGTGTACTTAGTTTATGGAAAATGAGCATATTGTTTAAAGATTTTTAAGGTCAATTCTATAATGTTTCCTTTACCTGTTTTAAACATAATATTCACACATATGAAATATATGTATATATTTGAATTTTAAACAGTATTTATGGTACATCATGGATTCAGAACACTCCATGAAGCGACTCTCATTTATCCTCTCAACAACCTTGTGATAAGATGTCACCATCCCTAGACAAGGTCATGTAAACAATGGCACGTGGCTGACCAGGGAGAATACTGATTTCTTTCTGATCTGGGCTGTCCCACTTGACAGCCTGCATAGCTTTTGGGAAGCGTCTAATATGTTGAGCTTTAGGTTTTCATCAGTAAGCTGAGAAGTGTCACCTGTGACTATGTTTAGACGTCTAGTACATGGTCTTTACTTGCAGCAAGGGAGTGGACCACACATGTTCACTATTTTCTTAAGGAAAACAAAACTTAAGCCTAAACTCTAGGACAGTAGCTCCCAAATGATCACATAGAAATTAGGATATATGCAAAATATGTCCAGGCCACTGAAGTATGATCTATGTAGATGACAAACAGAGTTAAAACTAAATGAGGGAAAAATCTAGAGCCCAAGTCAGGTTTCAGGGAGCCATCTAAATGCACAGATAGAGCTCAGTATGTGGGAGGCTATGTGCCATAGACACCAGTGTGGGAAAAACCAGCTCTGTCACACAAAAGAGGATTTCACTGGGCTATACTGACTATTTTTATAAGAAATAGATGACTACAGGTGCAAATGTTGTTTGCTCTGATATTTCTAAGGAAGTTTAGCCCCCCCCCCTAAAAAAATGATTAGTTCTCCAAGGAAAATAACAGACATCTTTCATAATAAGCTACGGCAGAAATTAAAGTTACATTATAGTAACTGCATATTTCACCTGTATTTCTTATGACCACTATCAAGTGTTAACAGTGCAAGTACTCATGTCTCTTTCTATTTTGTCACATATTAAAGATACATGGGTTGATACTTACAGAACAATTTTCTGCTTTCTCAAGGATGCTCACTGGACTTGACACCCTTTAACTATGAATATGTTAACTTCATCAGTGCAAGTATCATCACAAAAATATTCTGATATGGACGTGGAGATCTCAGGAATCCTTAGAATACACTTCAAGGATTGGTGACATGGAGAACATGGGGTGGTGACAATACAATAGCTTGGTAATCATTCATTATCTATAAATTCTCCATTGTCCTGTTTCTAAATGGGATATTAATGAACTGAGCAAAAGGAAATGTTATTGTGTATTAATACAATACTTGAATCTTTTCTGTACAGGATAAGGAGATGTTAACCTTTTATAAACCCAAGTGTTGTGATTGGTTAGCCTTCAGTTTGGGTGAATTTAATCAATAATTTTTAAATGAAGTACAAGAATCCACCTCAGAAAGCAAGTATTAACTATAACTACCATGGGAAAACCTTGGAGATACAGCTGCCATCACTAGGTCAATTTTAACAACTACTAATGGAGGAGGCGTGTTCTCACTGGCTTGTCAGTTTTGTACAGATGCTACACTGTAGTTCTCAATAGGGGAAACTTTTGTTCCTAGGGGACATCTGGTAATGTTTGAAGATGTTTTTAATTCCTCATAAATGGGGAGAAAGCTACTTTTGCAAGGAATAACAGGATCAAGATGTGGTAAACACCCTCTTGTGCACAAGACAGCCCCCTACTAGAATGGCTTAGTTTAGGTGTCAGCAGTGGTGAGATCCATGAAACTTGGCCAAAGCTTCTAGCACATAAACTAATATGGATAAATAAGTAAAATCAGACAAGAATCAGAACGTCTTTAAAGTGTGTGGTGCCTTTTCTGGAGTGATAAAGCTAGGACACAATCCTTACAGCTAAGACTCAGATAGAGTCTACGAGGAGAGAACAGGAAACTGATAAGAGCCAGAGGACAGGACCAGCTCTGAGACAGTATCTTCTATATGACAGGAAAGTTGTACCCATGAAATCTCAATGGTATGGTTGCCTAAATAAGATCAGAGTAATGGAGATACCAGTTGACATGCCAGTGTGAAAGGAGGATATCTCACAGAGTCCCATCTCTAGATAAAAGCTACAGACTATAGCTGCTGAAAGAGAGAACCAGTCTTTGTCAGTGACGGCATATGCCCTCTGAGTAGATATCTAATATCAAGTAGTCATCCCTAAAAAACCATCCATCTGAGCAATGGTAATGTACTCAGCAGGTTGTATTTTATACATACACTACTAATAAGTGAAGAAGAAGAGGCCATGAATTTGAGAGGGAACTGGGGCAGGGGCTGACATGGTAGAGTTGGAGAGGAGGATAATATTATATAGTAGTCATATATGAAATTCGCAAAAAAAAAGCTAATAAAAATTTTTTTTAAAAGAAATGAGAATACAGGCCTGGTTATCAATGATAGAATTACCTTGAGTCTGTAATTTAATTTTCCCCTCTACAGCTAGCAGTAAAAGGTGGATTTTACACATTAAAGTCACCTGTACTTTTCTTATCTGTTCATTAGGAAAAATGTAAACACTCAGCTGCACACACCAGGTGACTATATTTTCTGACTCTCTGTTTATCTTTGCTTTAGCTAAAAGATTACTGATTTGTTTAATAATATGCTATGTATTAGCTTTCAAACCAAATATAAAAGTACTCAAGGGGAAGACTTTCACCACATTTCTGTCCAATGGTTTCAGTAGGACATATTTTACTGTATCTTAGCAATGCAAGGAGGACTGGTTATTATTCTCTTTTGCATTTATGGAGAAAGGTTTCATTTTTAGGTATATATAAAGAATCTTTAAGATTTTGATTAGGTAAGAGGAAAAAGATCAATGTTTCTTGAAAATCAGAAGATTTGTATCCATGAATAAAGGTGGAATGGGATCAGATTTTTG